ATCTCTAGTTCTTGATAGACCAACATTCTTATTTGTTCTTCAGAAAATTGCATAAAAACATCGCCAGTAATTATTAAAGTTTTTAATTTATAAAGTTTTGTGAGTAAATCTTGCAGAACTATTTGTTCAAGATTTTGGGATTCAATATAATGTAAGGATAGAATCAGAAAATTAAGTGTATCTGCATTTTTTGCTAATGCAAGAAAAATTTTTTCATAAGGATCATTTTCAAAATTATCTTCAAAATCATTAAAATCATCCTTCCACTCAAAATATTTTAAATTCTTTTGTACTTCAATTAAATTAACTATTCCATCATTAACTTTCAAACATTTGTTAATAATAATGAGTCTCTGTATAAAATTACAAACATTTGCTAATTCATTAAAGTGCAAAGAATCAACAGAAGTATCACACTTTAATTCACACAATGATCCAAGACGAGCCTTATTTTCTAGAAAATAAAATGGTTGGTGTTTGAACAATTCAATGCTCGTACATTTAAAACCAGGACATTTCTTAATCATAAAACCGTAAATTTCTTGCAAAAGAAATTGATTATGTAATTCTGAAGGACAAATAGAAACTAAAGTATTCAAAACGGGTACATTAAAACTTCTGCAGAAAGATAAATAGTCAAACAAAAGTGATTTAGGTGAACTTGAAAGCCCTTGTCTTGTTAAGAAATCTTTAAATTCTTTAACGTTATCAGATAAATAGATAGCAATAATTATAAACAAAGAATTCTTTTTGGAATAATTAATATCATAGCACCAAGGATCTTTCCATAAAATTGGCATTGCCGTCTCACACCAATTTCTACTAACTAATAAACACGAAAAGAGAGATTTTATATCTCTTTGTAATTCTTCAATAACCAAAAAAAGTATATCTTTGTTGAATCTAGGCATCCTTCTAATCAATAAATAAAAAAAAAGTTCAATAATTTGTTATGGCTAAAATATTTTTTAGAAGCGATAATTTCACGGTATTGAAATATTTAATATCAGAGAAAAATTATAAAGGAACGAAAATTCCGTATCCTATCTAAATTTATATAAAAATCATCGGAGTTCAAACTCCGACCAAATTTGTTAATTTATTAGTGCGACAAATAATGTTTCACTAGATAGATCAGCCTATTGACCGTTCTATAATATGGCTTTACATAGATATCATTCGTCAACATTTACTTACCTGACTCTTCTTTCAAAATTTTCCGACTACGGCTACACATAAAGATTATGCCATTACAATCAAAAGTTTACAAATGGGATGTACATTAACTAAAAACGGTTAAAAAATTCGTACGTGAAACGTACCAATCCCATTATCAATAAAATAAACTTTATCATTTTTTTTTCCGTAAATTATTAAAGGATGCAATAAAAAAAATGTATGTGCATGCTTATTTGATTATTGATTATTGATTTAAATTTAGTTTGTTTTCCCAGAATAAATCAAAGAAAATACTATTCGATATAAGAATATGAATTTTTTTAACGTCTCTTATTTTTTGCGACATGATTAGAATACACTTAAAAAAAAAAGGCCCCGTAATAATTATCTATTAATTTATTGCTTTGTATTTTTCCTATTTTACTTGTTATTGTATATTTTAAATGGGTCATCTGATCAATTTAATCAATATCCAAATTTGTACGAAAATAACTTTTAGTAGCGTCTTGATAGGCTTGTCAGTATTTGTTTAATTTGAAAGGAATTCAGCCCTATCAATAAAATTGATTGATGACAATACAAATGATTATTTAAATAACTTTTTGGAAAATTGAATGTTTATTAAATTTCCTTATAAAGCTTCTGATTATCTGATTAACAATAATAATAAAATTTCACAATCAAATTATTGATGATAACATGACCGACTTGTTTCATGTGTGCATGCATTTATGGACGAATTAAAAGTTCAATTAATCCATATTTTATCAGGTTCATTTATCATCCACCAAAATTAGTAAATTTCAAAAGTAAATGAATTAAATAATTAGTAAGTTACGACAACTTGTTCTTTTTTTTGACTGTAGTAAGAAATTACCGAAATATAACTATTAAGAAAATTATTTGATTGGTAGAATAGTCTAAATAAATATCATGAATTATAAAATTCGTGCAAGAGAAACAACTAAAATAAATAGCCAATCTAACATAACAAGTTTAAATTCTAAAATTTCTAAGTAATTGATAACGAGACAACGAGGAACGTTCGATTTTTTTTGATTGGTACTCATCTCAACCACACTTTTGATATTTTAGGTATGTTGCAAAAGAAAAAAAGTACTGAGCAGTTGGTGGAGCTATATACAACCATAAAACATTATTATTACATACATTACATACGTCTTATAATGATAAAACCGCAAAATTTTTAGGTTGTCTAAACTTATCGGCAGTGCCAAATTTAGTCGATGCATAATGGTCTCGTAAAATTATTATTGGCGGAATTATAAATATCTTTAATATATTAAAACCCTATTTGACATTTTTAATTATTATTTTAAAATGAAATCAAAAAATAACCTTCGGCTATTTTTACTATACCCAATATTTGAAAAACAATCTATTTTATTATATATTATTATTATGAAGAGACTGGATCGATAATTTTCACGCTATTAAAATTGCATTTAACATAGGTAAGCATAAACCATCATAAAGTCGGTTTTGATAAATGAATTTTATACTACTAGCAGAGAATACTAAGCAAAAAATTTGCTAATTTAGAATACTAGTGGAATATCATAGAAGGAAATGTCTCCACTCTTATAAATATGATGAACACTGCATCGTTACAACCTGTAGCTTCCTGCATCAAAAATTGCGAGAAGGACGGAACAGGATCTTTCATCATTTTCACGAGAAAAATAATGTTGGAAGTCGTCCGGCGCAAATACGCTAGCCTTTTGATACGCTACATTTGATGTTCTCTCTGCCTCCACCACCACTCCCAACAACTTTTATCAGCGATAACCATAACACCTCATCCTGAAATCTACTTACTGGAGACATTACTTCAGATGAATATGCTAATTGTGGATTTCAACGATTTTAGGTCTTTATGTAGATATGTAGATGGTAATGGTGGAAATTTTCAAAGTCAAGGCAAAATTTTTTGTAATATATGTTGCATTGGTTTAAATTTCTTATTTAATAATAAAGTATATGCAGCATGAAGTTTTTTTTTTTTCTTAAAAAAAAAATCGAAGTTTATCGTCTATTTTTGAGCAAAATATATGCAAACCATTTATTTTCAATAAACTTTGATGATGGATTTCCCTGTATTTATTTTGGAATGAACTTCCTGAATGCTTGCTATTTCTTTTGTAACCCTTACGCTTAAAAATCCTAGTTTCGCTCTTCAGCTTCCCTGGTACTAATGCCTACGCGAGCTAGATAATCAAGATGTGTTACCGTCCCTTTCCCTGTTGGTAGTCAAAGCATGGAATTCTCGAGATTATTGGAGTCTCAATGACTATAGCATTGGCGCTCATAATCTTATCCGCTTCATTATTATTTCTTAAGGGAGAAGTAAATTACAGTATTTACTCAAAGAAATGGTCCACAACGGGTGAAGGCATAACCGATGTTATTAGAACAACCGATGATAATATATCATTGAAACAAATAATATTTTTTTATTATAACTTTTGAGATCACGTTAGAATACCATTATATTACTTTCCATGAGATCGGTAGCTCTAAACTAACCAATTTTTTTACTTGCAATTTTTTAAACTTTAGAAAATTTTGACAATATACTACAATAAATTTAATATTCATTCTTTAAACTAGGGAAATACCCCTACAAGTGTTACGACCACTGTCTCACGAACTCATCATTAACACAAACTCCGTCCATTACTCCATTTATACTATAGCATTGCTTACACTTCCAAATTTACCAGTGGATATTTGCTTCTAATTTTGGATGTTCAACTGAAACAGGTGGTGTCCAAGCTTTTGTGTATTCTCTTTTATCTGTTGTATGCACTTCATCGTTAAATCAGTTTGACACATGATGTAAAACCTCACCGCAAGTATAACCAATGGAGACAACCAGTCAATTACTGGGTTTGAATCTCACTCAAACATACTCCAAATACCAAATAGTAATATATTCTTTGTCATGTTCGTAGCATAGCATTATTGTTGGTACGGCTTTAATTATCATGTTATTGATCGGTGCTAAAACATTCATAATGAAATAAAAAGTGAAGATTTTTGAAAAGTCAAAAATATGCGTTTTTAGTATTTAGTAAGTCAAGATTTTTTTTTGATTAATGTTATTATTTAAGAGTAGAAGTTATGTATAATTCTATCATTATATTTCGTAATTCATTATGTGAAGGTGCTATTTTGCGTGTAATGAGTATTTGAGATTTGTTTAGCGCATTTGTATACAACTAATTTCACCATGAAAATTGATACGGCGCTTAAATAATTAATTATATCAACATGATGTATTATTTCTATTACTCTTTTTCTCTATATCAACTGACCCAATCCAGTGACTTTTGGCTTTTTCTCCCATTCATCTATAATGTTCACAGTAATTAAAACTTCTTTCTTTCTGCATCTACATCTTGTCAACTTTTCAAACAAATACTGATCTTCTGTAGAGTGAGAAATACAAGATTTTATTTTGTGTATTATATAACGATTATTTAAAGGATCGCGTATGGTTTGTCATCCCAATAATGGTATGCCAGTTTCAATGGACCGCACAATTAATATGTCATCTTGGAACTCGCGTACTTAATAATCGTTTACCATTTGAACGAAATTTGGCCAATATTCTTAATATAACACTTTCCGCTAGAGTATTCGTTTTTACGTTTTATTTACAGTTTAAACTAGCTGGAAAATTTAACCCTTTATTATTGCGGTATTTCTGGTATTTCTTCTGAATATTCATTTATCAATAAAACTCTTTCATTAACATGTCCACATTTTCATCTCCTCAAGATCGTTTTCCTCGTAACGTTTCACAGCTCAAACAAATAAAAAATGATTACTCGTAGTAATGTCACGCCTTTGGCCCAGTATCGAAAAAAAATTCATAACAACACTGGAACTCGAAACAACCTTCCGAAGGGGCACTTGAAGTAAAGTGCAATGTTGGTCATTCCATAAATGGGCAGTAAATGGTCCGAGCAGGAGAGAAAATTTTGAATTAAAATTCTAAAAAATAAAATCGTTGAAAAATTTTTAAAATTTTTAAAATATATAAAAAGAAAAAAATACAAATAAAAAAAAGTCATACCATATGAATTTGATGAATTCTAATTGGATCATTTTCGTGAGAAATTTTATTGATCTTTATTAACAGAAGCGACCGTAATGTAAAAAATTTTTTTTCAGTTATGTCTATTTAAATTGTATATGTTTAATTAATAATTTCACTATTAATCAGAACTATAATAAATATTTAATTCCTTAAAATTTGTTCCTTGTCAAAGCTATGCGACATTTTGCGACATTAACGCGATTAACGCGTAAAGTAAAAATGTTACGCGACGCGACGACAATTATTGATATATTTGGTATATTTGGCTGTAATGAGTCATTGAAAATTTTCATATATAAAATATGCTTTTGCATAAATCATGACTTCATAAGAATTCCATTTATGTATTTGTTGCTATTTCTATTACGTAATTCAGAGAAAAGTTTGTACAACAAAAAAAATACATAAAAAGACTCCTTTTTTTTTTGAATTACTTTATCAAAATTTCACGACACAATAAACACAAAACCCGTCAAAGAAGTATACTAATGCAATACTCGATAGAAAATATATTAGAAGTATTACCGAACATCCAAATATCACATACAACAATACACTAAACCTTAGAGTTTATTACAAAATTTTTTATGATATGTTTAGGTATAGACCCGGACAGTTGGCTATAGAATATTCAACACTCAGGTCATAACGCCATAACAATACTGGCGAAGTTTTATTGCAAGAAGTCGCTCCAAAGACTTGCTTAAAAGCTTACACAATCAGTCGAGAACAAACATCACCTTCGCTTTCTTGTGTGGCGCAGTCAACATCATGTCCATAGATTCTGAATTAGTATGACCAAAGGAAAAGACACATCATTAAGTGGTGAGTATAATTAATAGTTTGCCGGATGGTCGTATGAGTAGGTGTTCACTGTCCTATCTAGGTCTAGTCCAAGGTTAGGGCAACATACATCAAAGAAGCAAAAAAAAAGTCGTAAAAAAAATACAAACCCATGGTATCCGTCATTGCATTTATTGTGCGGGACTGCCTTCAGACAACATATAGGTAACGAGTTCTCTTGGAAATTTGTTTTTGTAGGTAGAAACCATCCTGTCAGTATAGACGATTTTGTGGTCCTTTTTTACGCGTTTTCTGTCCTGTTAAAGCATTTTAACCTTCACATTCAATTTTCTTTAGGCAGATTGTCTAAAATTAATGGAAACAGTACTTATAAGACTATCAAGATGACGCCAAATTTGATATTTAAAGAACAGACTAGAGACGTTATTTGAGGCTAGGACACGTGGTAAGTATAAATTATAATAGTTCGCCGGATGGACGTATGTGTAGGTGTGCACTGCAGGGTTCACTGAAAGTCTTCCGGATGGTGAACTGTTATGATTGACATAGGGGTTTATGTGCTCGTAGTACGTACCATATGCTACTGGCTAGTAGCTATCTGCTTTGTGCACAAAGTCGTAGCTACAATGATGCCACATAGGTGATCCCCAAGCTGATCCATATGGGAGGGAAGGCCGTGGTTCCCGTTGGAAATGACACATATCCTACTATGTCATGTCACTTACTTAGTTGTTGTTATTAAATACTATATGAGTCCATTTACCATAGATCCTATGATGGCCACATGGGTGTCCTGGGGTTCCCTGCTTAGACATAATTAACAGGGTGGTAAATACTCATATGGTATGAGATGATAGTGACTAAAAATTTTGTAAATCTTGTAGGGCACTTGCATCATTAGTTGACGAAAAAAAGACTAAAAGAGAACTGAAATGATCAAATTTTAAAATTGGCATTTTTTTTTTTTGATATTAAGTTGATAATGCGAATAAAACAAGACGGAAGAAAACAAGTTGTTAAAGTAAGTTATGTAGTAGTTTTCATATTTTATGAATATTATATAATATCATTTTTTATTTAATTATATTGAAAATTCAATAATAAATTCAATGAAATAAATTTCAAAATTCATTCAACATATTTCTTATTCAACTCAAGCGTTTAAAATGGAAGTGGGAATATTAAATAAATATTAATTTTCATAGCTTTTATGATACAATTAAATCGTTTTACAAGTTTAGCAAAAAATTTACCTATTAACGTTAGAGAAAATTCCTATTCATCTCCATAATAATTACTTTAATTGTGAACTTATAAAATCGTACATTTGGAGAAATTTTTTAGAAATTAACATAATTGTTTGGAAATTAATCTCAGTTAAGAAATACTTGGATCAATAGCACTGTTCAATTCTAGATCGCAAATTTATACCCTTAGATAATTCAATTACCTTTACAAATGATCCATTTCGAATCACATTTAATAGAACGAAGTTCTATTATATATTTATTTAAAATAATTTCGATAGCTAAATGACCGGCTTATTTGAAAATATTTTAATAATAGTGGAAACTAATTGTAATTTACATTAAAATCTCATCATAAGACTGGTAAATCAATCAACAGAACATCCGAGAAATATTTCATGAAATATTAAGATAACTAAAGTAGTGTTTTTTTTCGTATATATATATATATATGAAATTTATGAAATTTTGTCTATTAATACTTGTTACTTTCACCAAAGACAGGGAGATTTATTTGAATTGAAGATTAAATTCATTGTTACTAATTATATCGAATTTTAATGAAAAAACTTTAGAATTATTTGAAGAGATACTATATTAAGAATCAATACTAGTCCGTCCTTTATTTTATTTGCTTTTTGCACCTCAAATTAATCGATAGTTAAATTGCCGATAACACGTGTTTGAAGATCCATCGGTATATACTCCAAAAATTCCATGAAATTTTATAGTTTCCATATTTGTTCTGATGAAACGTTCCATATGGTCGTACGGGCGGAGTTAATTTCATGGCTATATCGCATTTGAAACCTTTTTTTGTCATTCATCCATTCATCCCATTTTTTTTTTCATGATAACCATTTAAAAATATATAATCAAAAATCTCGCTCCTTTTTATATTTTTATATATATAAACATATATATATATCGTCTTAAAAAAAGAAAAAAAGAATGTCCAAACTTAATAAAGATATTCTTTACTTGTTATTTGAGGAGTTACAAGATAATTCAAACTTTCTCTTTTCATGCTTAATGGTTAATAAACTTTGGTGTGAAATTGTGATTCCACTTTTATGGAAGGACCCCTGGCGTTATATTGATTATCGTACCAATAAAAATCCCTTATACTCCATTATTACTTCCTATTTTTCTGATGATATTAAAGAATTCTTAAAAAAAGAAGGAATTCAAATTTTAGGTCAATCACTTGCATTTGATTATTTGACATTCTGTAGAAGTATTAATGTAGACATTATAGATGACATAATTTCTGTTGGATCATCATTAGAATATGAACGATTTCTTTTACAAGAAGAAATTTACAATCTATTGATGAGAAAATGTCCAGAAATAAAGTATTTGGATATACGTGGTACCTATCAAATATTTTATCTTCCAGAAGCAAAGACTCGCCTTGAATCACTTTGTGAATTAACATGTAACACATCCATTGATCCTGATTACTTTTACAGATTAGCACGTGTCTGCCAAAATATACAAAGAATCATCATTATTAATAAAAAGCCAGAATTTAATCATGGATCCGCTAAATTAATTGAAGTTCAAAAAAATTTAAAATATTTTAAATTGGAAGATGAAGCTAATGAAGATAGTTATGCAGCTAATTATCCATATGCAGAAATTTTTGATGTATTAAAAGAGCATGCAAATACTCTTGATCATGTTAATATAAGTCTTTGGTATGAATACGATTATAATGATTCTGATTATATATTTTTACCATATACACTTCTAGAGCTTTATAAATTGAAAACATTAGATATTAGTTTTCTGATATTCCCATATAGTAAAGATTTTGAAAAAAAGATAGAAATGGTGGCTTATCGTGACCTTGAGATCTTTGAGATAAATGTAATTGATATTCATTACGTTACTTGTATAATTAGAAATAGCAAATATCTTAGAAAATTAATAATCCATGATTATTATGAGGATTTTGATGATGAATTTAACGTTAAAACTCTTCATCTTATTCGTACAATTTGTGAAAATTGTAATTTAGTTGAATATTTGTCAATTCCTGTGTTTCCATTTTTAGAGAATCATTTCATTGAATTTGAAAAATTACTTAAAAAATGTCAAAAATTACGATCATTAGTTTTTAAGGACACGGAAACTTACGAAACAAAAGTTGAGATAAAAGATTGTGAAAAATTATTAGATATGTTAATCAAAACAGCATCAATAAATTTAAGAGAAATTGTATTTAATTATGAAATTAAATTTTCCTTAAAAATTTTAGAGACATTCTTTGAAAAGTGGAGAGGACGACCTGCAATTTCCATAAGTATTTATAGTGATGGGAATATTTATCGAAGCAATGATTATATGAACCTAATTAACAAATATAAAGCTGAAGGAGTAATCAAAGATTTTAGAAACTAAAGTTTTATTTATCATAATATTATTTATTATTTGAATAGATTGATGTAATAGAATAATTTATATGAATAAACTAAATAAAATTTTTGTTTCTTCAATCAACGATTGATGATAGAATAAATTTAGATGTTGTATATTCGTTTCATATTGGATTAATTTATCAAAATGTTTCAAGAAATATCTACTTGAAGAAATGGAAATTACTTTCACATGGAAGTGTCATTATATCATTTTAAGTAAAATAGATAAAGTAACTTGTTGGGTTGAATTTATTAATTATCAGCGATTAATGTTTTTCTTAACAATTATTAATAACCTAATACTTTTGAGGGTTACGGTCGAAGTCAGGGATGATTCACCGAAGAGATGTTTCGCCAAAGGGGATACATTTTATCGAATCCATTTCACCGAATCGTCCATTTCGCCGAAAGTACATTTTATCGAATCCATTTCGAATCGTCCATTTCACCGAAAGTGCATTTTATCGAATCCATTTCGAATCGTCCATTTCACCGAATTCCATTTCATTCACCAAATCCATTTTGCCGAATGGACATTTCGATCGAAAATGGTAGCGTTTAACATTTTTATAAAAAATATTCATCGCGCAATTTATTTTTAGAGAGCTTTTTTTTTCAGATACTATCACTTTAACTGTTCAAGTAACTGATATTCTGATAATATTTATTCACAAAAAAGTTTAATAAAAATCATCTAATATAATAAAATAACCGAATGGAATAAATAATTTTTTCGGCGAAATGTTCAAACTTTCGTTGAAAAGAATCTAGGCTGAATCATTAAAATTTCATGATTTTAACCTTGGTCAGAATTAGCAAAATTTCTAATTTTGCCGGAAAAGTTATGAGAAAAATTTAAAGATAATTTCGGAAAAAATTTAATCCAAATTATGAAGAAATACTTGAGTACGAATCTCGATCGAGACGCTACCGACCAATTATACTACTACTATTTTACATATTACATTAAAGAATTTAATATACCAGTTTCACGCCAAAATAATTTCCATCGGATTTTTTTTTCTTTTTTTTAAAAAAAAATTAAGATTGTAAGTCAATTTATTAAAGTAAACAATACAAAACCAATATAAAAATTACAAACTAAAAAGAACTACTGGCCCCTATCTACCATAGTAAAACTACCCAGACGGGGAATTTTTTTCAATTAATGCTTACCCAAAAAGCTAAAGCCGATCTTCACCTTTAACTTATTATGCATTAGCGCATAGACAATCGACAAATTTGTCATTAAATATTAATATAAGTAAAAAATCACGAAATTGTTGAAGATTTACAGATTTACTGAAAAAAACATGATAATAAAATAAATTTGGAAATATTAAAAAAAAAAATAATATCTAATTTGTACTAAACCAATTTGAGAGAAATAGAAATTCTAAAAAGAGAAGAGACTTGGAACCAGTTGGAGGCCAGATCTGCATCAGATCCTTACGATGTGATTGAACGGTACTAAATTGGTCTCTCGTTCAATAATAATAACATACAATGACGAGAAAAAAAAAAAAAAAAAAAAACTAACCATATATCTATAATAAAAAGAAGATAACAAACTTTATATAGTAAATTTTTATTGTTAATACATGTAATATCGAACAATATATAAAAAAAATTCGATTGTTGATATTCAAAGAACAATGAACATTCTCTCTCGAAATGAATTTTATCGCGTACATTAATAAAAACTGAAAGGATCGAAATAAATAGATATGACGAAGTCGTAAAAAATCGAAATTATTAAATTTTAAAATTTTGTATTCAGAATCATATCTGTCCCTAGTTTCTAAGTCCCTATAACCACAAAGAGTTGTCTTTTAAATTATGCAGGGTATGCAGAGTAAATTATTCTTATCGACAAATGCATGTGTTCCTCTAATTTCATGCAAGTTATCTACGAATCTTGTTGAAAAATACCATATGAAATAAAATAGATAAAATAAATAAATAAATAAAATAAATAATTAACAAAAGCACAAATTGACAATTCTATACGATGAAACGCCTCTTACATTACATTCTTTCATTAAAGTATTGTTAAGTATTGTAAAAAAACTCGTTGACAAATGACGTAATGTTTGTTGAATATTGTGAAATGCCTAGTGAAACATTGCCGATCAGCAACACGGTCGCACGAATATAATTCCATTTTAATAAAATCATAGTTCATCACTAGAAAAAAAATAAAAAAGAAAAAAAAATCCAATATATTGACATACTGCGGAATTACAAGACATATTATAAACATTTATATTTATTTATTTTTTTTTTAAAAAAAAATACAAAAGTAAATAAATAAAATAAATAGAAGATGTCCAGACTCAATAAAGACACTCTTTTCTTGATATTTGAAGAATTGCAAAATGATCCAAAATCTCTCTTTTCATGTCTTATGGTTAATAAACGTTGGTTTGAAACTGTGATTCCAATTTTATGGAAAAATCCTTGGCGCTTTGATATTAATTATAGCAATAAAAATTCATTATTTATCATAATTACTTTCGATTTACCTAATAATACCAAAGAATTTTTAAAAAGTCAAGGACTTCAATTACCTTCAACTTCATACCAATCACTTTCATCCAATTATTTGTCTTTCTGTAAAAGCATTAACGTAGAAATTATGAACAATATTATTTCTATTGGGTCTACTTCGGTATATGATCAATTTCTGTTTCAGCAAGAAATTTATAGTCTCTTGATAAAGAAATGTCGGGAGATGAAGTATTTGGATATAATATCACTTAAACACCAAATATTTTATTTTCCGGGAGCTACTTGTCTTGGATCACTTATTGAACTAAAATGTGACACATCTATTGATCCTTCATATTTTTATGGATTGGCACGTGTTTGTCGTCGTATTCAAAGGCTTATAATTATTAATAAGGATTTAAAACCTAATCACGGAATTGTTAAATTAATTGAATTTCAGGAAAATTTAAAATATTTTCAATGGAAAGATAATATTGAAGAAGAATGTTTTATAGAAAGTCCTTATGATAAAATTTTTTTTGCATTAACGAAAAAAGCAGATAAAATTAATCATTTAAAAATATATTTTCAATTTATTGATGGTTGTGATCATACATTTTTACAAAAGATACTTCCAAAATTTTCTAAATTAAAATCATTAATAATTGGTGATTTTATTTTAATTAAAGAAGAACAATTAAAAACTTCGATATATCAGGACCTTGAAATTCTTAATATAGATTATATTAAAATGAATACAGTAGCTTCTATGGTTGAAAATAGTGGAGGGCATATAAAGGAAATTTTATTAAAATATTATTATTATTATTATTATAGAGATAATGACTTTTATAAGGATTCTCTAATATTTATACGTAAAATTTATGAAAATTGTCCTGAGATAGAATATTTATCACTTTTATTTTCGTCATCAAAAGAACATTTCGCTGAATTTGAAAAATTATTAAAAGTATGTAAAAATTTGAAATCAGTATTATTAATTATATCAAATATTTATGAGAGAGAAACTTATGAAAAAATTATGTCAAATGGTGAAGAATTATTAAAAGTATTAATTAAATCAGCTCCGAAAAATTTAAGAGAAATTAGATTTTTTGATTATTTTAAATTTTCTTTAAAGAATTTGGAATTTTTCTTAGAAAACTGGAAGGAACGACCTCCGCTTACCATAATTACATCTGATTCTGTTTATAATGGAGAAGCTTATATGAAATTAATTGATAAATATAAAAATAACGGAGTGATTAAAGATTTTAGATGTGATTCTGAAAGAAATATATACTTTAGATAGATTTTTTTAGTAAATTCTCATTTAGATTATTTCTTTTCTTTTCTTTCCTTTTTTTTGTATATTGTAAAATAATAATATTTTGTGTTTTAATAAAATTAAAATTAAAAAATTTGTATTTTAAAAAATACTCACTTTCATATGATAAACATATGTTATAGGTATAAAATATGTTAGAATATATGCTTTTATTAAAATTCAATGCGCAGTACTTATAAAATTGATTATATAAGCAGGTATTTTTAGCGTACAATTTTTTATTCTTTGGACGTGTGATTACAAGTTATGATTGTAAGAGAATAATCCAATAATAATGCTAACAAAATATCATTTTATTTATTTATTTATTTTTGTCAGTATAGTGAATAAAGGAATTTTGTACATTCATAGAGAAAGTTTTGTATATGCACAAATTACCTTAATAAAATGAAGTCATGCAGAGCGGAATTGATCTTTATAGATACGAGAGCTTCATACGAGATTCGAGATTTTCTACTGTACCTTAAACTTTAATTTTAGCGTATAGAATTGTACACATGATATTATAAGTAATTTTTTTTTTCAAGAGGTTAAACGTCCCCGCAAAAAATTTTATCCGAATTTCTGTAAAAACGCCGTAAATATGATACATTTACCGAAAAATAATTAAAAATCTACGCAACTCCATGTTTTGAGGACTATAAATTCCACGAATATGATACGTTACGGAAATAACATGGAATAAAAAAACCCGGAATAAATTTTTTGTAAGGCGTTTTTTATTTATTTATTTTACATAACTTTGAATACAGGATCGAATCCTACCATATATGCTGTGTTAAAAAAGATCAGTTAGACATTATAGTTAGAGTAATTATAGATTTAGTTCAAGATATTTTGTCCCACTAAGCCTTCGTACACCCATGTACAAATAGAAATCGTCAATTAAAATAAACATATGAAAATTACTATATTGATCTATCACGCCATACGCAGACAATTTTAGCAAAATTCTATATTTAGTATAGTAATATGATAATTTAGAAAGTGCCAAGAACAAATCATTCTAGACTAAATATTAAGTTGATAATCATAATAAAATCCCCTTTTCTAAAGTTACCATCATTTTTTCGATACCCCCGATAAAAAGCTTTTTAATGTCACACAAAAAAATTACGAAATGTTTTTAATCTACGCAAAATAACAATGTATGTTTACTGCACAAATTTAAAATAAAAAAAAAAACGAAAAAAAAAATGCGATTATAAATAAAATATAGACTTTATAGTATAGCGAGAATATAAAAGTGGAAAAAAAAAATTTTTTTATTGAAATATTTAAATTTTTTGCACATTATAATTATCTTTAATTTAATTTAGCACTTTGTATCCACGATTTGAGACCGCGTTATTTCTGTAAAAATTTTTTCTATTGTCTATTTTTCAATTTGTATAATAAAATTTTATTGAAATATAAATTCCTCATATAAATTTTGTTCGTATCTTATAAATTAAATTTATTATAATAATTAAAGTTATATATATTCGCTATCAATAAAACTTCAAAATTTCTATATGTTGAGTAATCAAGTTGCTAAAATATGTGTAAATAAAAATAAATTTAAGTCATTTTATCGATCCAAAATAGGATCCGGCGAAGTGTATACTCGAAATATTCACAAATTACTTAAAATTTAATACGCACGTTATAAAGCGTTCGAGAATAACACTGTGCATTATTTATTAAGTATTGGGCATATCAATTAAAATTATATATAACAGATAATTCTTGTTTTTATTTATAAAATATGTAATAATTAAATTAATGAAAAAAAAAAGTAATAAATGCATCAGTTATCACTACCACATGATCCACTGTATATTTAAACCAAGCGAATTTAGAAGTCTTTGACACTATTCGACGACAAGTACTAATGCGAAATTATAAACAATATAATTTATATCATTTAAAAATTAAAAATGAAAATAAGATTCCGAAAATAAACTACTCGAATATAATACAGAATTAATAATTTTATCATCAAACTTATTTTGACAAAGCCGTTTTCCGTTAAGAAGTGTCGTCCAAATACGTGTCCCGATAAAAAAAACGTTAATTTTGTAAGACTTTTAATGTATCCGAGATAAACTATTGACGTTGGTATGTTTCTTTCTAACGCGATGGATGATTTAAAGTCGTAAGGCTGAAGCTTCATGCCAATCTTTCTGCAGGGGGAATTCAATCTTAAGATAGATTAATTTTATGTTTTTGATTTCAAAATTTTATTTAAAAACAAAGCCGATCTAAGGATGACCTTGTTGTAGACCAAATCAAACCATGTCCCAAACCTAACATTACCATCAGCCTAAATTAGGAGATCATCGTTGGCACAGTCTTAAGGCATTATTAGATTGGGCCGATAATTTAGGCCGATGGTAAGGTTTGGGACATGGTCAAGTTTGGTCTACGACAACCTTCATCATGAATTATCATAAATTCATAATGAAGACAATAAAACGTAACCGGTAATATAAACAAGTAAAAAATTTTATTTTATAAAGCTGTGAATTATATTAAGTCTTTATTCTGTAATATCTTTTGAATGTGGAGTAAATGTTGCTTTACTCGTACGAGATTTTTCAGCATTTACTGGTAATTTTGGTATGGCATCTCTTAGTATTATTTGATTTAAGCTTTCTATTTAATATGTGTTTAATCCATAATTCATATAATAAAATTGAATGAATAAATCATACTATAATAAAATCAAATGAATAAATTATACTATAATAAAATCATACAGATATTTCGTTATTATTATCATTATTATTATCCTCAACTCTTGCAATTATTTTAACTATTTTTTTGTCATTTGTTATTAAGAGAGAGAATAAATGTTATCAACCGTAGAACATCTTCCACACTTTTTTCCATATCATCTTACTTCAGTCTAAATCGAACATAATATAATCAAATATAATTCTATTAATTTTATAAAGTTGTGAATTATATTAAGTCTTTATTCTGTATCTTTCTTATAATTATTTGAAAGGTTTGTGCTGTCTGTTTATTCGACATCACCTAAACCTTCATAGCAAGTGAAATATCTTATTAAAGGTTGGAAAAAGATATTGTTGGTCATGCTATTTCTTTCATTTAGAAATCGTACCAGTTCCTCCATAACAATTGGGAGTAAATGTTGCTTTACTCTTACGAGATTTTTCAGCATTTACTGGTAATTATCTCTTAATTTTAACATACAGTATTATTTGGTTTAAGCTTCCTACTTAATATGTGTTTAATCCATAATCCATCTTCACAAACGTTCTGTTTATAATAATGAGCCTTTGGATATTTTGGCAAATCCGAGCTAATTCCATAAAAGTATGAAGAACCAATACATGTATCACATTTTAATTCGTAAATTGATTCAAGTCGGAACTGTCGAGCCTTAGCTGTAACAACTGCAGCAAAATCTGTTACTGCAAATCCTTCTTGTTGACCTTGAATTGAGCAAAAGATACATGCTATGGTACCAAATCGTGATGGTGAATATAAAATTATAGCTGACATTGCTCTTAAAGCTGTAATCACATCAATATCATAATAGTACGTTATTTTTCTGTAAGGGCAATGACATTTATACGTAATATTTTAGGGGGTGGAGGAGTATTTGAAGGTCATATAACATATAAGTGTAACGTAAGATTTACATGGGGGTGGGGGGTATGGGCTTATAATAAATGGATATTACGTAATAAATGTCACTGCCCTAATACCACACAGAATTATCTTCTATTTTAGATTTCAGCCGTGTGTAACTAATTTTACCGAAGGTGGGTAAACTTATAGCGGTGGAAGTAATTGTAGTAGTACTGCACTTCAATGCATCATTATAACGTTCGTATTCGGTCTTATTATCAAGTTGGCCTACTAGCGCTTTATGACAATTTAAAAATGCCGATAAGTTTAATTCTTTAGTATTATACCAATGCTCTCTTTCTTTCAAATCATTTTCTGCTTTTTTATGAACTTTCATTTTTTTATTAATAATATATGTGAGAATTTGTGTAGTAATGATATACGTGAGAATGTGAAAGAAAATTATAGATTATTAATTAATAATAAATAGATTATTGTGTATGAACATGAACTTTTGAGGATAGCGGAAAATTCAAATGTATTTATACTTTTAATTCCATCTGATAATTACTAATGATTATCTTTTTTTTTGCAATACAAGGATAATAGTAAAGTCAACAAATTTGTAAAGTTTCATATTGTTTATATTGTTCGAAATGAGTCTTGTTATCTTTTATGGAACGTATCTTAGTAAAATAAAACTAATTCTTGACATCAATTATTTTAAAAAATTTTTGTTAGTATAATCATAAAGAATTCCTTTGTTAACTGGCTTAAAGACCTTTTTACTCATAGAAACCATTTGCGTTAATCCCCCTTGCAAATCATGACCTTACACATTTCCCAAATCCCCACGCATAAATATTTTTTATGTTCGTCTCAACAAAGGTGTAAATAATTATGAATTAAATTAATATTATTTAAATTAAGGATTCTTTGTCGACCTGGAATTCATGCTTAATATTATAATTTAAATTTAGTAATTGATTTATAAAGAATTCCTTTATCTGTTGTTATTGACGAAATAAATTATTGTTTCAATTACTTTAATTACGAATCTTTATTATTGTTTTATTTAATATTATACTCATTTAATTAATTTTTTGCATTTTTATTCTTAATTAGCTTTGATAAAAAAAAAAAAAAAACTTTAAAAAACAAACAAACAAAACAAGCGATTGATTCAACATAAATTTGGAAATGATCAAAATTTGTAAGACATGCATGCAATAATTGCCTTAGAAAAAGGAATGCCTTGTTTCATCATTATGAATTGTCATTTGTCGAAGTCTAAATAATAATTATTATTTAAGGAGAACTAATATAAATAATAATTATATAATTATATATCATGTTTTAATTTTATAAAATAATAATTATCGCATTACTGAATAATAAGAACAAAGAAGATTAATTAAGAATTTTATGAGCAGAGAAAATCAAAATCCATTTATTCCATATATATAAATAATGTATGGATAAAGATCTAAAATTATTATTAAAATTTACTCTGTAACATACTGTATTATATTGTCCAATTATTTTCACTAAAAAAATTAAGCGGAACATGAAAAAAAAAGCATTCTGATAACTAAAATTCGATTTCTAAGAATAGTAATTGTATTTTATCATGATTTTAATTAATAATAATATTTATTAAAAATTATGATTTAATTTATAGAAAAAAAGCATCATATTACTAATTAAATATTATTCTTTCGTGTCTATTGTTACCTGGTATCGGCAATTTTATTATTGAAAATGATTGCCATTTTCTAAAAAAAGATTAATTTTATGAAACCTTTAATGCATGAAGCAGGACGCAGAAATATATATGCAGGGGTAGGTACACAGATGCGTCGCCATCATAATTTAAGAAATTTTTTGTCACCAAAATTGCGTATTTTTTATCAAAATTTTTATATGTAAATTTGGCTAATCTTATATATAAAATAAATATATTTATTGTACTGTACGTACTTATTTAGTTATTAACCGCATTGTAATATTTAGTATTAATCGGAGGAAATTTCTAAGGGTTGAAAAGTGAAATTTTGACTATTTTGAAAAATATTATTGAAAAAATGGTAAAATAGGATAAATTTTATTTTTTTCACAACTTAAAATAAATTATTATATTATATTTCATATTTATCTTAGAATAAAAATGTATTTATATAATTTTAGACTTAAAATTTTATTTTATACTTAAAATATTTCAATATCAGGTGTCAATTATGCGTAATACTCATGTAAAAAGTCTTGGCATACAGCTCATAGTAAAAAAATTTTTCGCCACCTGATTTCTATATATATATTTCTGAGCTCTTATTGCGCTGTATTTATATAACTAATTTTAGTACACAATATGTATTAAAAAAAATTCACTTTAAATTAAATAATAAATAGTTCTTTTTTATCATTGTCCTTCATTTGCTTATACCAGAATAGTTATTTTAATAACATCAATAAATAAATTCATTATTGTCAGAAGTAGATGATATTTACATTCACACAAATCTACACAATGTCTCTTTATTTTTTCACGTGACCAGCGATTTGATAAAAAAAAATTTTTTCAAATTTACCATGAAATTTGTTTTTGTCACCACCAATTTACATCAACAATCACATTAAAGCAACAAAAAATAGAAATTGTTCAACGTTGATTTTATGAACATTAAAAGAAAAAAAGCATGAATACAGTATAGCATTCATAAAAGTGATAAAACAGAATATTATTATGTTAAAGATGATAAACATTTGTCACTTACTAGTTCTTTAATAAACTTGTTTTTGTGATTATGAAATTCCGCTACCGCATTCTAATCTGGAAATAGGAAAAGTATTTAAAATTACACCAACAAAACCACCTTCACTAGCAAATAACGCAAATAGCGATATTTCATCCTATAAATAATATTAGTTTTAACAACACTATTTACATCACCTAATCCTCAATCATCATATTCATTATCGTACTTACCATCACATTTATCGGGTATCATATATGCAATTTGATTCTACTTCATCTCCAGATTCAACATCTTTATCTAATACTTTACATAACCACTGAACCGTCTATTAAAGAACTTTTGGAACTTGATAGAAATTTTGGTTAAAGAGAAATATACAATTTATTTGCAGCGATTGAAATGGAGAAGATTATTATATATAACTTGCAGAAATGAATTCTGAAACTTTATTAAATGAATGGTATAGAAATAATTAATTTAATTAGAGACGCAAAAAAATATTTCTAATCTATTATATAATTTTTACGAAACATTTGTTTTAGTTTTGTGTAATTTACTTAAAATTTAAGAAATTAATTACTAGTTATATATCGAAAAAATCTCATATATACGTTACTAATTATCCACATTTTTTGTGATATACAATAGACTCATCAATCATGATAAATTTATTACAAAGAAATTTTTTTATCTAAATGAAAACAATTTTGGAATGTATTGTTATCAAATGCGTATTGTAAAATATACGCTTCCTATAAATAAATTTTCCATCTTTTTTCTCAGTCCAACCATTAAAAATTGCAGAACGAAAATATTGAGATCTAATAAATAATACATTTGAATTAACGTGAATTTCTTTCGTTCTTTCCCTGCATAAATAATAACATCATATCTTTTCTGTTTTAAAAAAATATTTCATAATAGAGATTGATATCTAATCTTATGATCTTTTATTGAAAAACAAAATAAAGTATAATGTAGGCCAGAATTATAGTGATGAACAATATGATTCAATAAAATATGGATTCGTTGATAAATCATTAAGTAAACTTGTTCCAGCTAATCATTTCTCACATTTTACCATCCTTAAAGCATTAAACTTGTTAGTAGTGAACGTAAATTAACAATATTGACCTATAATCTTTGAAAAAAAGACTATTGTTTTTGAGAAAAATATGAAAAAATTGATTCATAAATTACTATAGCTTATTTTCAATAATGAAGGGAAATAAACTGACAAATTTTGAATATAAAAATAATAAATAGTAAAATGACATACCAGTGAAACATAATAAAAATTTTTATGAATTTAATTTGTTTTTTTAATTACTTGAAATACTTCATATTCTTCTACAGTAAAACCTGTTGGAATTCCTAATTTAGGATGATAACATCCACCAACACCATAATAAGACCAATTATTATTATTACATTGTAAATTACCCATAGTTGGACCATAAACATCATCACAATAAACAGCATATCTTGTATTATTAACATAACCTAATTCTGCAGTAGAAATACTTTTTCCATTTGTAAAATTAAATATAAAACTATCAGCAGTAGTTTTCCAAGTATTTCCATTCCAATCAAGTGGATTATACCCTCCAATTAATTGTATTGAATCTTTAATTTTTGCTACCCAAATAGTAGGACCTTTATTATCACAATTTTCATGAAAAGAATCAGTACCATTTCCATCTCGACTTGAACGATATAATAATTTGAATTCATAAGGAATATTTTTCTTATTATAATGAGAAGAACCTTTTTTATCAATCCATGAAGCAAAAAGTGAAATATGACTTGATTTAATTAAAGTTGAATCTTTTAAATCTGGATCTCTTGAAGGTGTTAAATTAGTTTTAGGTTTTATATTAGGAACTATATAAAATTCTAAAAGATCATGAATTAAATCTTTTGGTAATATTTCTTTATAACAATAAACCTTATAAAAAAAATCTTCAGGTTTAATATCATAAAATCGAATTAAAGGAATAAATTGACATAATTCTTTTTCAATCTTTATAATATCTTCTTTAGTCCATTTTGTTGGATCATTAATAATTATATTTTGTTGAGAAATTCCCCATTTAATTAAATTTTCCCAAATTTCAATTTCATCAACATTTAAATCATCTCTTTTTAATAATAATTCTAATAAAGGAGCTTTTAAATTAATAAATTTATCAGAATCAAATAAAATTTTAGGTTCTTCACAAATTTTTTCAAGACAAAATTTCCATAAATCTGTAAATGATTCATGTTGATAAACAATTTCAAGAATACCAGTTGGATTTTGATATAAAAATTCAGTTCTATGTTCAATTAAAAATTCTTGAATATAAGAAATCAATGAATGAATATTAAGTTCATCTACAGCTATCAACAAATTTAATACTTCAAGACCTTGTAAATTCTTCAAATCAATATTTCCACAGTAAATAAATCTGGATTTGATATAATTATAAGTTAGGATTTTTTTTTTGATTAACTAGTATTAAATTATCACATACAATATGTTTTAAATTATCACATATATCACATACCTAAGAATTATATTGAATAATTTTGGTGAAATATTCGGTTTTCTAAAAATAAATTTTCCATCTTTTTTTTCAGCCCAATTGTTGGAAAATGCGGAACGAAAATATTGAGATCTAATACATAATATATTTGAATGGGCATAAATTTCTTTAACATTTTGTTCTTCCCCTGCATAAATAATAACATCATATCCTATTTCTGT